TGGATACCACCAGCAGCTGTAGCTCTTCAAGGGAGGGAATATTGGACAGGCTGTCTGCCGGATTGGTGAATGTAACTAGTATAAGGTAGCAACAGGGTCAATTTGAAAGAAACTTTTCTCAATAGACATGGATATTGCCATTGATACTTCTCATTCTGAAAATACTGGTTTCCTGACTGTCCTATTTACCCTCCTGGATCCCTTAACTAGCATGCAAATAAGGATGCCTGACTTTACAGATATGCGTACTAGTTTCAGGTCATTTACTCAGACCTTACTAAGCCCAGATGGTCAATGTACTAACATCTTCAGAAGGGAGCTTCTGAGTCTCTTTAATGTACAAGTGGTAGAGAATTGTTTCCAATTTTGCACAGTGCCAACAGCAATCTACAGTTGTTTGTGGAAGGTCCAGGTATATGGATATTGCATTCGGAGCTGTTGTCTACAGAATGCACATTTACATGGGAATGCTCACATAAACATGGTACTGCATGTTTGTGTAAGGACTATGGTGTCCGTTTATGAACCAGCGGTAATAGATCGCTGCTCAGTTCTCCGGCATTCTCGGAGAACACAGTTCTCCTGTGAATGCAGTTTATGAAGCAGTTCTCCGAACGAAGGGAGAACGGTCTCCAAACACTGGAGAACAGTCTACAAACTCTGGAAAACGGCTGATTTTACTATAATCTCGCGAGATTACAGTAAAAGATCAGTTTACTAAACAGAGGTAAATTATCTCTGCTTAGTTTGCGGTCCCTCTGATTCTCCAGCTCTGGGCTGGAGAATCTGGAGGGAGAACACAGATCTCCAGTGAAGGGCTGACATGATCTCCTGAGTGTCATAAACTGTGAATGACCAGAGAATAGCTGAGATCCGTTGAATCGCAGCTATTCTCTGTGTCATAAAAGGACACCTATGTTGGATTTGTGATTCTGCTGCTGGTGATTGCAAGTGGAAAGGCAACCATTTCTCTGCTGGCCTGGGACACTGCAAAACCTCACTTGCTAGCTAGGGAGCGACATCTCGTTGGTTCAGCCAGCGAGGGAGCAACTCCATAAGAAGGTCCATAAAAAGGTCTTGTAGGCTTCATCACACTATAGCCTCTTGTGTTTAATCTATTTATTTAAATGCAGGAGAAAGGATATAAGAAGTATAAACTAATGTTGTGCTTCCCAAATCACGTTCTCCTACATTTAAATGTACTGTTTACATGCATTTAGACACGTTCAGGGTTTGTAATTTGCCCCTGGATGCACAGAATTCCATGTGTTCTAAAAGCAGCTAAACTGAATGTATCTGAATGCATGCATGTGTTTAGAAATGTCCTATCAAAGAATAGTCACCAGGAATCCTACATCAAAGATACTGTCACCTTGAGGAAGGGAATTTGCAAGGTCCTGAAGCATTGGGTATTTTTGATGTATGTGACATGACACAAAAAAAAAAAAAACATGAAAATCTTTGATCTTTGGAACAAGTTTGTCCTGGTGACTCTTATTCTGTTGCATGACTCCATCCCCTGCTGTCATTACGAGCACCATCTAATATTACTGATCACAACACTGTATGAAGTGCAGTCCAGAACTATATTACTTTATAGAAATGTCCTATAAACGCATGTTATTGTCGGTGTAAATGAGGCCTTAGTATTCAGTCATTGGCAAACTGTTGCCAGCACAAGGCTCATTCATCAGGCATGGCCCCGGTCACATACACATAACCATAAATAGATGCTGTCAAAGGATGGCCATGAAAAAACTAGATGTCTCCCACCCAACGCACTATGAAGACTACATAAAACTGCACTGGTTAAAATAAACGTGATGTTCCCTTCCTGCCTTAAAGCCCAACTTCAGAAATTAGTCAAAATCTATCATCACGATGCCCCCCAGCAAGATTCAATATTTGTCTGGTCTAGGGGATGCTGAAGAGGCTTTAATACTTACCTTACACCCTGCTCCAGCTGTTTCTGGCTCTGTTCTCTTTTTTATCTGGTACTCTGAGTTGGGGGGGGGCCTCTTGGGGGGCTCCTCAGGCGTCATCATGACAATGCAGGACTTTTAAGCCTGCATTGCACATGGAGGAGGCAAGTGTGCGATCCTGGCTAGGAGCAATTTATTGAGGAGGCATAGTTGGAGCTTTTCGCATGGATGGACGGAGGCTATAGGAGCGAGGAGTAAAGTAAATATTTCTTCTTATTCCTGTAACCCCAGACCTAACTTTTCATTAGTTTGTTGCAGGCATTCTCAAACAGGGTTAGATGGACACCAGTTCCACCAAAGTTTGCTAAGGGTTCCTTGAGCTGTTAATGATTGAGCTTCCATCTGATGGTGCCTTTACAGCTTGGGGGATAATGCCACTTGGCAGAGCCAGCAACATTTCTCCAATGATCTTTTAGTTCACCAGTGTAAAGGGCATGGTTCCCTCTGACCACCAATGTAAGGGACATTCTTCCTATGGACCATCAGTGTAAGGGGCACTCTTCCATTGACACTAATAGAAGGGGGCATTATTCCCTATGACCACTGATGTAAGGGACATTATTCCTACAAACCACCAGTGTAAGGGACATTCTTCCTATGAACTACTAATATAAGGGACATTCTTCCCACGAACCAGCGGTGTAAGGGACAATCTTCCTATGAAACCAACCCATGAATACTAGTGTAAGGAACATTTTTCCTACGAAATAACCCATGAATACTAGTGTAAGGAACATTCTTCCTATGAACCAACAGTGTAAGGGATATTCTTTCCATGAACCACAAGTGTAAGGGACATTCTTCCTACGAACCACCAATGTAAGGGACATTCTTCCTATGAACCACCAGTGTAAGGGACATTCTTCCCACAAACCAATAGTGTAAGGGCCATTTTTCCCACAAACCACCAGTATAATGGACATTATTCCTACTGATCACCAATGTAAGGAGCATTCTTCCCACAGGCCACCAATGCAATGGGTATACTTCCCACTGACCACCAATGTAAGGGGCATTCTTCCCACCGGCCACCAATGCAATGGGTATTCTTCCCACTGACCACCAGTATAATGGGCATTCTTCCTACTGACCTGTTTTTTAGCAGGGGATCCCCTTGAAAAATATTTCATAGGTTCCTCATGACCTCCCACCTGATTGACCCTTCATAGCTTGGGGGCCAGTGTCACATGGCAGAACCTGCAACATTTCACTAATGTTCTATTATAATGCCTGAGTGACATTCTGATCACCAATGTAAAGAGGTGCTGTTCCCACTGACCACCAGTGTAAGGAGAATTCTTCCCACTTATCACCAGTGTAAGGGGCATTCTTTGAAATGACTATCAATGTAAGGAGCAGTTTTTCCCAGTGACCACACATTAAGGGGCATTCTTCTACTGACCTTCAATGAATTGGTTTTTAGCAGGGGTTCCCCCAGAAAATCATTTCATGGCTTCCTTTAGAATAAAGGATTGAGAGAGGCTGCTGTAGAGAATACAAAATAAAGCCCATCTGGTTGTTTTTTAAACAGTAGCTTTAGTTTTCCTTTGCACAGATTACTCTTCTCTACATACGGAGCATTTTTAGTTCATATGCTCTACAGCCGGCGCCCTACAACAGACAATTGCCACCCCAAACACAGACAAAAGTTGAAAACATGTCAAGAAGCTGTGTTATAATTACCCAGTGGGCAGAGAAGTATTTTGCCGGAGGTTAAAGTGAAAGCAAGCCATGCATTGCTAAATAGTTTAACAAATCCTGCAGCTTGTAGTGTCTGACAAAGCCCCCTGTTGGCTCCACAGCTGCTGTATAACTACAAATCCCAGCATGGAGTTCTAGGTGCGAACAGACGGGGAGTCAAAGGTTACCTATAATGTATTATCTCCCCCATGGAGACCTAATGTATACATAAAGAGGGTTGTCACTCATAGCTGCACCCCTGTCAAGATGTAATCAGGTATTGCGGATGCCTCAGGCTCCTCTCTGCATAATGTCCCCAGTGGAAGAATCAATGTGTGGTCTCCTCTCAATGGTATGAGTCCATCTCTGTATGCATTACTGGACTCTGCAATGACATTCACATGCCTGATTAAACAAAAGCATATTGCCTGTTTGAATCAACACATCACTACGCGTTAATCTCTCATCCTCACTTGTTTCCAGCCCATTCCAGCATTCATATTTTCACTTGCTGTGCAATATTTTGCCTATTGTATTTAATGGACTGGATTCTGGGTTTTCCCTATAGTGGATCTTAGGATCAGACAGTGCAGTCAACATTGTTGCTGAACACCAGCTGAGAAAAAAATAAATAATGGGATAAGCCAGATAGAGTGACAAACAGGACTTACACCAAAGATGTGCAATACGATAAGGTACAGAAAAAGAGTAAACACTTTGCTGTGCTGCTAAGAAGGACACTGAGCTTGTATTATGAAACAAGAGGTTGTTCCTTGTAAATATATAATTGTAAATTATACACAGAGCCTGAAGTAAGATAATGTATTTAACATATTTTTATTTTGACGTAAAGCTGATTTCACGTATCTGTTTGTAATAAACTCCAGATGTTGGTCATTATTTTGGAGCAGGTTTATTCAACCAGGGTTTCATGGAATCTTAGGGTTCCACCAGAGGTTGCTCAGGGTTCCCTGAGCAAGGAGCAATTTCTGCTTCTCAGATAAGTTTCCACTAACAACATTGATTTTTTTTTTAGCTATCTGTTAGAGGAGGACATTGACCACCAATGTAGGGAACATTCTTCTCATTGGCCACTAATGTAGGGAACATTTGTCCAATGAACCAATGTAAGGAACATTCTTCCTACTGACCACCAGTGTAGTGAACATTCTTCCCAATAACCACCAATGTAAAGAGCATTCTTCCCAATGACTACCAATGTAGGGAACATTCTTCCCATTGACCGCCAATGTAGGGAACATTCTTCCCATTGACCGCCAATGTAGGGAACATTCTTCCCATTGACCGCCAATGTAGGGAACATTCTTCCCATTGACCGCCAATGTAGGGAACATTCTTCCCATTGACCGCCAATGTAGGGAACATTCTTCCCATTGACCACCAATGTAGGGAACATTCTTCCCATTGACCACCAATGTAGGGAACATTCTTCCCATTGACCACCAATGTAGGGAACATTCTTCCCCATTGACCACCAATGTAGGGGGAACATTCTTCCCATTGACCACCAATGTAGGGAACATTCTTCCCATTGACCACCAATGTAGGGAACATTCTAACCATTGACCACCAATGTAGGGAACATTCTTCCCATTGACCACCAATGTAGGGAACATTCTTCCCATTGACCACAAATGTAAAGAACAGTCTTCCCACTGACCACCAATGTAAGTAACATTCTTCCCATCAACAACAAATCTAAGAAATTCTTTCCATCGACCACAAACGTAAGGAACATTCTTCCCATCGACCACAAATATAAGAAACAGTCTTCCCACTGACCACTAATGTAAGGAACATTCTTCCCACTGACCACCAATGTAAAGAACATTCTTCCCACTGACCACCAATGTAAAGAGCATTCTTCCCACTGGCTACCAATGTAAGTAACATTCTTCTCATTGACAACAAATGTAAGAAATTCTTTCTATTGACCAAGTGTAAGGAACATTTTTCATATCGACCACATACGTAAGGAGCACTATTTCTACTGACCACTAATGTAAGGAGAATTCTTTCCACTGACCATCACGCTAATATACAGCAAGCTGTAGCCTTAGGTATTTTACAGCAGAGGTTCTCTGAGACCAGCAAGTTATTTCGCCTGAGATCAAGGGTTCCTCCATGTTGAAAAGGTTGAGAGAGGCTGTTCTAGACTAAAAGTCTACCGTATGCACAAGTTATATAGTAATGACGTACCATGGTGCACTATAGAGGGTGCATACAACCATTTATTTCAGATACAACCTAGAAAATCTGTTCTGTCCACCAGTCATCATGTTACAAGAAACCGGAGTCAATTCTGAGTGGAAGCCAGTTTAATTAATACTTTGTTTTTGCATCTTTAGACCACAGAGCATGCAAATTCCTAGCAATGTCTTGGGTGAACTGAACGTGGAATCCCTGCATATCCACAAGGTTTACCAATATACCTCTATATGTTTCACTTACTTCTGAAGCCTGCCAAACATGGCTCACATTTAGTGAGAATAGATCAAAATTCAAGTTGTAGGTGGTTCTTTCAACACCACCCAGAATAACAAAGGTCAATTTTTCAATCAACTTTTTCAGATGAGCTGGATAGAAAATTGTTGGCTGAAAAGTCCCCAGTAGGTGTAGTCACTGTTTGGATATTCTGACAGCCACAGGTGCCAGCTGTTCGAATACAATAGCCGACAAGGGATATTTCTTCATCAAAGCTATGGGCTGAATGGTGGAAATCCAATAGATTCTTCCATCCACACTAAATAGAAATCTAAATGTGTATGGCTATCCTAACAAATGTGACATAGCAAGGCAAGAAAGTAATCGCCCCCTCTTTGTAATCTTTTTGCCAATTCTGTTTAGGGCAGCCTCACATTGCACCTCTGCACTTTGGCTCCTGCGTGGGTTCAGTACGGTATACCCGTGGTTTTGGTGTGTGTTCTGAAAGAACATCAAAACCATGGGACATAATAGAAGTCTATGGCAAAGAACAGCTAACCCACACCAAAACTGCGTGTGTACACGCTGCTGCAGGCAAAGATCAGCGCAGCAATGTGAAGTCACCCTTATGCACTCTGCAGACATATATTAAACTTTTAGAACCCACTGACATGATTACCAAGGGGGACTATTCACACATCTGCCTAATTATCTACTGTTGTCTCTGGAATGCACCATAGACACAAGCATTCTGTTGGATTGCTTTACTAAGGGAGTAGAGAATTTTCACTTACAAAAGTGGATATTCCCATAACTTAGTGAACACATTGAAGGTACTGTATGTTCAATCTGAGCACCCAATCTTGTGCAGAGATATAGATTTACGCTTGCTTCTTTACACTTACTAAAGTAGTAGAGAATTTTCACTTACAAAAGTGGATGTTCCCATAAACTTAGTGAACACATTGAAGGTACTGTATGTTCAATCTGAGCACCCAATCTTGTGCAGAGATATAGATTTACGCTTGCTTCTTTACACTTACTAAAGTAGTAGAGAATTTTCACTTACCAAAATGAATGTTCCCATAACTTAGTGAACACATTGAAGTTACTATATGTTCAATCTGAGCACCCAATCCTGTGCAGAGAAATAGATTTATGCTTGCTTCTTACCGCTGCTGACTCATAGTGGTTGATCTACGAAAGACAAACAGACTGTGCACTTTGCAAGTGTAGTTGCACTAATTTCCCCAGAATTTAGTGAATGTGGTAAAGCTTCACTTTGTAAACAATACCCAGTCAGGTGCAAGGAAAATTTTAAAAAATGCATTTTTGATTGCCCATGATTGGATGATAAAAATCAGCAGAGTTTTAGCACATTCACTAAGCTGTGGGGAAAATTAATGCAACTGCACTTGCAAAGTGCACAGTCTATTTGCCTTTAGTAAATCAGCCCCCACAGAGAAGAGACTGCCGCCTTAGCACAACGGGTAAGGTAAAAATGTGTCTGCAAACCAATCGTGTGCCATGAAAGACCAATCACGTGCTATGAAAAAGACCAATGTGCTATGAAAGACCAATCACGTGCTATGAAAGACCAATCACGTGCTATGAAAGACCAATCACGTGCTATGAAATACCAATCATGTGCTATGAAATAACTTTTTTTCCCCCACTGGTGATGATGGGTGCTAGAGGGTCAGTTTGTATAAACTTCTGTGCTGAGAGCATGCTCACTGCGTACTCCCAGCACACTAACCAAACTGTCACTGAAAACTCTGGGCCTCTGTGGTCAGGAACAAGTGGATAGGCTCCTGATGATTTGCCTACCATACCACTTTCATCTCAGAGTGATATTAAAGCTTCCATTTTTTAAAAATAAAATAATAAATATATTTACCTGCTCTGTGCAGTGGTTTTGAACAGAGCAGCCTTGATCCTCCTTATTTCAGGTCCCCTGCTAGTGCTCCTGGCTCTGCCCTCCCCACCCAGTGCACCCATTGAAAGCTGCTTTCCATGGGGGCACTTGTGTGGGCTCACTTGCAAGCCTTCCTGTCTGTGTATATTGACACAGACAGCGGGGCTTGGCCCTGCCCGCCGCTCCTTCGTCACTGGAGTTGATTGACAGGAGAGGGAGCCTCTGCTATCAATCTGCCCAGTGTGGAGGGACAGAGGCAGGAGAGCTGCAGCTCTCTTGCACATCGCTGAATCGAGATTGGGCTCAGGTAAATATACGGAGGTGAGGGGGGAGTTTGTGACAAGGTAGGTCTTTTAATGTAATGCATAGAATGCATTAAAGTAATAACACCTTGAGGTTTTAGAACCACATTAAGTGCATTTTGTACTCAGAAGCTCCTGAAGGAGCTCAATGACACTAGCAGGCATTCATTAATGTCGGGTAATATGCACATGCTGCTAAGCTTTGTTTACACATGCGGTAATTTGTTGTTAAAATGCATGGCAGTGCTTGCTTTTTTCCCTTTTTTCATCTGCTTCAATCCCATGCACAGCAATGCATTACAATCTGCTATGGCACTTGAGATGCACTGTGCAAAAATGCAACATGTCCTTTTTCAGAATTCACCAACACAGCAAGTAATAAGACATAAAGGAAAAGATTTACTAAAAGTGGAGCACTCAGAATCTGGTGCAGCTGTGCATGGCAGCCAATCTGCTTCTAACTTCAGCTTGTTTTAGCAGCCTCCCTGGCGGTATTCCCGAGTGTAGCTCGGGGTAAAGTTTCAGTACCAGAAGCGGGAACCCCGAGCTACACTCGGGAATAGCCTGCGGCGCTGCTCCAGGATCTGTTCTTCACTTACCTTGTCCTGCGCTCCCGCGCGATGTCCCTCCTGCAGCGTCCCCGGCAATGTCCTCCGGCGGATGCTGACATCTGTCTTCTGGGTTCCATTCCATGCGACGTCGGGACGTACAGGGGACGGAATGGCGGGGAATTTGAAAATGACAAAAAGTGACATTCACTAAAATCACATAGTAAAACATTACTGTATCAAAGCATTTCACATACATTTTGTCCCGAGTGCTTTGTCCTGCGCCCTGCCTGCATTTTTACCGTTCTTTCTGCCTGGAAACTGAGAAACATCCATGGTGTCCCTTTAGGTCAAAATCGGTTTTAGACGAGCTAGAGAACAGCGATAGTAAATTAGAACCACTTGCAGAATTGAGTGATAATGATTCATGGGGGAAATTCGTCATCAGACACTGAAAACGATTTTGCGACTTTGCTCAGCGATGTGCGAACTTGGCGCTATATTTCAAATTTCAGTGTTTTTGGTTTGATTATATTATTGAATTAAAATTATTATTATTATATTATTATTTTTTAATGATTATTTATTAAATTATAATTTATGATTTCGTGTTTCAAATTTTAACATACCCGGGATGTTTACTAGACTCTTGTTCGGACAGATTTCAGTGAGTTATTCCTAAAAATTACAGCCCTACAATAAAAAAAAATACATATTTCCATGCAAAAAAATGTACCGCTTTGAGCACAGAAATACTGACATAATCAGGCCGCTAGGGAGGTTAAGCTTTGATGATAAAACCTGGAAGCTGATTGGTTTCTGTGTAGAACTTCCCCCGAATTTGCACATTCCAGTTTTGGTAAATTTCCTCCAAAGCAAATTGCCTTTTCTATGCATTGGGACTGCACGGGGCAATGCAGTCCAAAGGGGCTGGTGTGAATGAGTGCGAACATCCATAAAATGTATAACAAAGTGTTTGACATGAGCCAAATTGTGAGTTATGTTTAGTGGACAACCACAATAGTAAAACTAGGGACGCACACCACATTGATGAACCACATCCGCTGGTAAACTAGTCGAGGCTTCAGTTCCAGTCCTTGCATCTTGGCCAAGCTGAAGCCTCTACTAGCTTGCCAGCAGATGTGGTTCATCAATGTGGTGTGCATCCCTAGTTTTGCTGTTGCGGTTGTAGCATGGAGTGAGATGTACCCTGTGGAAGGAGAAATGACAGAAGGATGAATGGGAGGCGTATGATCGGCGCTATTTTTTACTTATGTTTAGTATTTTTGTCGATTGCTGTCTGGAATGCCCATTTTTAGCAGAGGCAAGGAAAACAATCCCTCACGCTTTTTTAGACTTAAAGTGTTACTAAACCCAGGGTCTCCCCCCGAACCCTGTATTCACTATATCTGGTCTCCCAGGACCCTGCATTCATTATATCTGGTCTCCCAGGACCCTGCATTCACTATATTTGGTCTCCCAGGACCCTGCATTCACTATATCAGGTCTCCCAGGACCCTGCATTCACTATATCTGGTCTGCCATATATCTTCCAGGCATCCCAGGACCTGCATTCACTAAGCCTCCCTAGCTTGCATTCAGCATATGTGGTCTCCCTGGACCCTGCATCCACTATTTTGCTGTTCCCGGGACCTGTAGCATTCAGTGATCTGGTACCCCAAGGACCCTGACGGATTCATGATATGGGAGGCGTCCCAGGACCCTGCATTTTTTACTTATATGTGGTTACAATATTAACCCTGCATTCACGATTGCTGGTCTCCCAGGAATGCCCATTCACTATATCAAGTCCCTCCCAGGACCCTGCATTTAGACTATATCTCTGGTTACTCCCAGGACCCTGCATTCACTATATCTGGTCTCCCGGACCCTGCATTCACTATATCTGATCTCCCCCGGACCCTGTATTCACTATATCTGGTCTCCCAGGGATCCCTGCATTCGCTATATCTGGTCTCTCAGGACCCTGCATTCACTATATTTGGTCTCCCAGGACCTGCATTTACTATATCTGGTCTCCCAGGACCCTGCATTCACTATATCTGGTCTCCCTGGACCCTGCATTCACTATATCTGGTCTCCCAGGACCCTGCATTCGCTATATCTGGTCTCCCTGGATCCTGCATTCACTATATCTGGACTCCCGGACCCTGCATTCTCTATATCTGATCTCCCAGGACCTGCATTTACTATATCTGGTCTCCCGGGATCCCTGGCATTCACTAATTCACTATATCTGGTCTCCCAGGACCCTGCATTCGCTATATCTGGTCTCCCTGGATCCTGCACTCACTATATCTGGTCTCCCTGGATCCTGCATTTACTATATCTGGTCTCTCAGGACCCTGCATTCACTATATCTGGTCTCCCAGGACCCTGCATTCACTATATCTGGTCTCCCAGGATCCTGCATTCACTATATTTGGTCTCCCACAGTACACACAATATGAAAGTGCAATTATTTTAGTAAATATAAAACTGCTAAATACCTTTTCTCATCAGCAATTAGAGCAGTCTTGTGACTTCTATCAGTGTCCGGCTGAGCACTGGTTAAAGCTTGTAGGAAGAGTTTTCATTCTGCACTAGGAGAATGCAAAACACCTGACCTCTGTCTGGATAGTGCTGATTGGTCCTGTGCTGATCACATGCACTCTCCCAAGAAAAAAAAAAACCTCTCTAGAAATACACATTAAACTGATCATGTGCAGAAGGGCTACGGGTTCAGTCTTTCTTATCAGCATGGACATCTGAACAAGAGGAGGATCAGAGAAGACAGGATCAAACAGCCTTTTTACACAATGCAAAGATTAACCCCTTAGGTTCCACAGTGAGTATAACAAGCATGCTTTACTGCATATACAGATTGATTTTACTGTTGTGGGTTTAGTAACACTTTAAATTGCAAAGAATATAAACTTCAAAAACTCCCACAACTTCTACAGAAATTCAGAATAACAAAACTCACAATTCAATAAAGTGCAGATTGTATTATCCTGGATTGAAGAAACTGGTTTTATTTCATTATAAGTCCCTTGAAAGTTTGTTAGTTTGTATGTAACGTGTCAGTCTGTGATTGAAAAAGTGTGACAACCGCTCCGCGTTTGTGGTGATCACATTCCTGGGACCCGGTGGGGGGGGGGGGGGGGGGTGAGACGAATAAAAACAATTTGTAGCATAATGATGATACATGATGACATTGTTCTCTCTCCCTGACCTCTAGTGTTCAGATTGTAAAAGTGCAATCATCTGCCAGGGCAGTGGAAATCATACCATGCTGTGATACCTGCCGCACCATTAAGGATCAGGTTCTACATTGATCATTATAAGTACTCGGACAATGCGGCTGGAGACATCTGAAATTTGGAAATTCCCAGGGTATAGAGATAATAGAGATGCATACAACCCCCCCCCCCCCCCCCCTGTACACACACACACCTTTTTGGCACCTGAGTGACCTAACATCTGGGGGGGATTGATATAACAGTGTATTGGCAATTTCATTATGGGGGCTGGCAGGTTGAATAATCCTTTGCAGTTCTCAGTTGCAGACAGTCAAGCCCTGACATTTAGGGTTTGTTTACAGCCCTTGCCGCCCCTTTGAAAAGCGATCTGCTTTGCAGACAGTGGTTGACAGGTGGCTGGAAGGTGAGATGCTGCCTCTTCACCGCCTGTTTTAAACCTGAACACAGTTGCAAGGCGGTTGTGGTACAGCCCCATTCACCTCATTAGGTTACATGCAGAGGTGAACAAAAGGGGGTATCATTTTTTCCATGCCATGTGTACAGCCTTCTCTGGCCGCTGTGTTAGGTTAAGATGAGTGGGCCATGGGCAGTAACGCTGTTGCTCAACTACATATTTTTACCGCCCTCCCCCACCTTTGTGTGAACAAGCCATTAAAGTGTAACTATAGGCAAATCAAAAATGATATGATTGAAGCAGATTGTCACGAGCACTTTGTGCTTGTTTTAGTTTTACAGTATCTCCCCTGTATTGTTTTATTGCCCACCAGCAGTGGTGTCTCTAGGGGGGTGCGGGACACATAGGGTGACACCATCCCAGGGGGCGCAGGAGCAGGATGCAAGCAGAGCTTCTGGGCTTTGTGAAGGTCCTGGCCAGTTATTGGGGTGATCCTGGATTCCTGGCACAGTGACAGCTGCCCCCCGGTGTAGTGGCAAAATGAGTATCCCCTGAAGATATGTATCCCCTGAAGCAACTGCACATGTGCTGGTTTCAGGCCGAAGAATCCGATCTGACTTTAGCACAGAGCTGCCACAGTTAACCCCTTACAGGCTGCAAACCGCTGAAGCTGATCCCGTGGATCACTATGGGTTGAAAGAGCAGTTAACCCCGTAAAGGTTCAACCCATAGTGATCCGCGGGATCAGCTTCAGCGGTTTGCAGCCTGTAAGGGGTTAACTGTGGCAGCTCTGTGCTAAAGTCGGAGACTGGCTTCTTCGGCCTGAAGCCAGCACATGCGCAGTCGCTTGTGATTTTGCACAGGATTGTGGTGTAATTCCTGTGTGAATCACAGGCAATGGGACAGTGTGAACTGGGGCTGAAAGCACATGGAAATTGCAGGTGCATGCATGTGTTTTTGGCAGAGTTTTGTAAATAAAATCCAGCTTGCTCCTAAATGCACATACATGAAGAAAACCTAAAAATCGCACATACATGAAGAAACCCTAAAAAAACGCACATACATGAAGAAAACCTAAAAAACGCACATACATGAAGGAAACCTAAAAAACGCACATACATGAAGGAAACCTAAAAAATGCACATACATGAAGAAAACCTAAAAAACGCACATACATGAAGAAAACCTAAAAATTGCAAATACATAAAGAAAACCTAAAAAACGCTCAAAGTTGCACTACTAAAACAATGCCTCAACCTGTAGAAGCACTAGTGTAAACCCAGGCTTAACGTGGTTGTAAAGGCTGAGGGGTTTTTTACCTTTATGCATTCTGTGCATGAAGGGAAAAAAACCTGTGTGCAGCCCCCCCGCCCCCCCCCCTAATACTTATTGGAGCCCCCTCTCGATCCAGCAATGTGTCTGAGAGCAGCCACTCTCTGGGTACTCTTGTTCCTCATTGGCTGAGACTGCAGCAGGAGCCATTGGCTCCATCTACTATCAGTCACAGCCAGTGAGCCAATAAGGAGAGAACAGGGGGCGGGTCAAGCCATGCCAGTGCATGAATGGACACAGAGCAGCGGCTTGGGAGCGATCCTGCTCAAGTGCCCCATAGCAACATGCTTGCCATGGGAGCAGGAGGGAGGAGCCAGGAGCGCCGGCGGGGGACCCGAGAAGAGGAGAGTGAGGGCTGCCCTGTGAAAAACCATTACACAGAGCAGGTAAGTATAATATGTTTATTTTTTTGAATCTACCTTTTATATTATTACATTATTATTATTATACAGGATTTATATAGCGCCAACAGTTTGCTCAGCGCTTTACAATATAACGGGAGACAATACAGCAACAATACAGTTCAATATAAGAGGGTTATATCACTTTACATGGTAAATTAAAATTGAAGGCAAAACGTTTTGCATTTTAGATTGGGTAAGTGAAAGCTATAACCACTGTCAGATTTTTATTTTTTTTATTTTTTGCCATCTGTGTTCCATGGGGGGATTGCTCTTTACTTCCTGTCCCATAGACTCAACAGGACATGAAAGTAAATCCCTTCAAAATGAGGGAAACATCTTCTTGTCACCAGGATCAACAGAACAAATGGAAGATTTTCCTCTATTCTTGTTCTAGCGACAATTCAAAATTTGTTTTTTTTTTTTTTTTTCTTTTGGTGATAATGGTCACCAAGACAAATAGGGAGGGTGAATCTTCCTAATGAGGCCACAGGCACCAATAAAAACCTGACAGGTGTCCTAATCACTCCCCACTCTTTTCAAAATGAAAAAAAAAAACACCCATCACTGTAATATGGTATGGTCCAACTTGGTTACTTTTGAGTTTTCTCTAGAACTTGGGCTGTTGCAGGAACTGGAAACATATTGGGGTTTATTTACTAAAGCTGGAGAGTCCAAAATCAGACTCCCTTCTGCATAGAAACCAATCAGCTTCTAACCTCAGCTTGTTCAATGAAGCTTTGGCAATGAAACTTGGAAGCTGATTGGTTTCTATGCAGAAGTGAGTCTGATTTTGCACTCTCCAGCTTTAGTAAATAAACCCCATTGTTTCTACAGGCAGAATCACAAATAGGCATTTTCTTGTTTTGTTTATAGTTACTCTAAGTAATGATGTTAAAATTGATGATTTCCCATTGTGAATTGTTCATCTTATGTAAAGTAGCATTGTGTGCTGTCTCAGCTCTCTGCACAAGTTGGGATCTCACCTTACATATGACAGATTAGCTTTAACGATTTCATGGCAAAAAGATGAATTGACTTCTGAGCAATTTTGTTCCAGTTGAGTAGTTGTTGGGTCATTGTATTAGTAACTGGTAGGTGTTCCTCTTGTTTATATTCAGGCAACATGTGGCTCTGCTGTTAGTGTGGAATTTAAACCTGGCAGCAATTTTGGCGTTTGTAACTAAACAAGACTGGAGTGCTTCATCCTGAAAGAGCAGCACAAAGCTGCTGGATGAGCATACACTGGAGGTGTATAATACGTTTAAAGAGCAAACTAAAGTTTTTGCTAAAGCAGTAGAAGGATCAACCCCTGGAAGCTGATTGGTACATATTCACATCTCTTTTTTGAGTATACTGTAAGGTCAATTTTCTTTTTCATTTTAGGTGGAGTAGGGCATATAATATAATAATAATAATAATAAATAAACTATATTTTATATAGTGCCTTTAAAGGTAGCATCTCAAAGCACTTTACAAAGACAAGAGAAACAAAATCACAAGAAATACACAGGATAAAACAAAAGAAAAAAAGGGAGAATTACGTGAAAGCTTGTCTAAAGAAAAACATTTTAGACTTGATTTGAATGAGTTTAGAGAAGATGACTCTCTGACATTCTTTGGAAGCTGAATTCCAGAGTTTTGGGGCAAAGCAGAAAGCTTTCTTTCCCATCAAGTGCAGCTGAATAGGGCGGACACACAGAAGACTTGAATTTAGGAAGCGGAGGTTATGAGGGGGGAGTAAGTTGATAGAAGTTCAGACAGATAATGAGGTGCCAAGCCATGAAGAGCCTTATAAAGTCCGTTGGGTTTTTTTTTGCCATCTCTGCCCCATTGTGGAGATTTCCCTTCACT